AGCTAAAACTGGAGGGATGTGGTCTCCTCTCCTGGTTCTGGTCAGTGTTCGGGCTGAAGGATTCTGCATTCATTAGGACAACCTGACAAAAGGGAAAAACGTAAATCCAACCTGGAGGTGACAAATGCACGGACGAGTAAAAGTAAAGGCACATGTAAAAGTTCACAGTTATTGTTCCTGAGACCTTTTAAGGCCTGGACGTTTTGTTAAAAGTCTTTCTGAGTGTCATTTAGTTTGTGCATGATGGGCATCTACAAACTCATCAAACATGCTTTAAGCGAGTCCGTTTGAGTATCCTCGCATGCAGACAGGTGAGCCCAAAGGCAGACCTCTATCTGTGGGATTACCTCTCCAAGGTCAGAGCAGTTATCTCCTCCTGCGTCCTGCAGTTCTTATCCTTCACCTCCCTCATTCTCCACCTTCAAGCTACAGTAAGAGCAGCCCCAGCTGGAAGGGAACTGAAAGAGATGAGATGGTTATTAAATAGGGTTTGTGATTGATCTCTATCGCATGATAACAACCAGATGCTTTATCGTCTTGTAAAGATGGCACATTATTTATAATTGGATACAGGAAGACGCACCATTTGTTATTGACATTGTCAGGCGACGGAATCGGCGGCCCCCAAAGTATTTCGTTATCTTGGTGATGTACGAGGCGGCGAATGAAGGTCCCAAGGTAGTTCAACTGAGATGCAGAGATGGGATGCGCCATCAGTGTGCGCATATGTGTGCGTGTGTACAGTACATTCACTGTGTGTGTGTGTGTGTAAGTTTGGCTGCTATCAGTTTGTGTATATCATAGATTTGTTGTGATGAGTATAAGCCTAATGTTCGGTCTCCGTGGAGCAGCAGGCTGATGCCGTTTTAACAGCAGCATATGTTGGATTTACTCCTGACAGTCGTGTGTGATCACAGTCTGCATGATGGGAAAAATAACGAGACGAATTTTGATCGGCATGAGCGAGTTATCCGCACATTAGGAATCACTATCACCTCTTTATCTTCAGGGTCTGTGTTCTGGCGCATAAAGAAGAAGGCCGAGACTAAACCAGAGAGCACCAGCTGTGAGAAATGAGAGAAAACCAAAACCAAAATAAATGCCGGTTGTACCTGCTTTCTAAGATCTTCTCCTGGAGAGGGATGATCCAATTTGCAGCCGAAGTTTGGAGGTGCAGAACAAATAACAAGACAAGTTTGCATAAGGAGGGAGGTAGGGGTGGCTTGTTATTCAAAACCAGGACTTCAGCAGAAGAGGGTCTGGGTTAGTTCGCCAAAGTAATACAGACTTTTCCACACATGAATTGCAACCCATGAAAACTATTCAGATAACTAAACGATAAGCTTGCCATTGACCAAGTCTTAACAGATTTACATGGTTTTTAACAGTCCAGTTTCCATCAGACTAAGACAACAAATCAATTTGGGACGATATGCTTTTCTCCAAATTCAATTCTTCTACAATTTTTTGGATGCCGATTTGATTTAAAATGTGATTCTACGATATATCGTCAATTTTCTCGATTTTTAGTCTGCATTTTTAACACCAGTGAAACAGTTAAATGATTATTGTTGTCGACTGACTATTCCAGAAACCATATTTCCCCAAAATACACATGTAAGTCAGTTTTTGAAATTTATTCTTAAATTTGAAAAAAAAAAAAATAGAATTTTGAACATAAAAATCGATTTAAAAATTGTAAAACAAAAAATTGCGATACTTATTTGAATCGATTTTTTTATCCCTCCTCTAACATGTAAACTTACTAAGTGATGCTTTACTATCCAGATATAAACAAGCACAGTATAAAGGATGCATCTCGCAGCTCAGTGCAGTTATGCAGTATTTATATCTAGAAAATGGGAATAAAGTTGTTTGAAGATTGTGTGTGATTAAATGAGCAGATGCACAGGTGTATTAGAAGAGCTAAAGACTGGCGGTGCTGACTCTGCTAAGGGTAGCCACACTCTCAAACTAATCTAACAAGATGTAAGAGGAACCACTTTGTCCATGGAGGGGCTTTAATCAACACAAACACAAACCAAAAGTTCCCTACTGCAGCTTTAAATAATTCAGATATATCTTCTCACACAATACTCTCTGGTCTAAACTGTTGCTCATAAAGAAGAGCACCATCAAGGCCTGTCCTCCTTTAGCTTGTGAGTAAAGGCTCCTGGGCACCGGCTGGTCCCTGGGGTCCCGGCAGGTTGACAGCCCAGTGATTCCTGCAGGCTGCTTCCCAAGGCCCTGGCATTTAACTCGACTGTGTCTCAGTAATTATAGCTCCATTCTGTCTCCCTCTCACACCAGGACTCACAAACAGAGCCGCACGTGCAAACCTCTGAGTCAGCCGAATACTTCACAGTGCAGGGTTGTAAGATGATGCTGCAGGTTTACAATTTGTGTTTGGTTCTGTACATACAACACACAGAGGCGAGCTGTTTTTCTCTCATCCAGGCGACCCTGAATCCCCAGACTCTGAGCTGATTATAGTACAGTCTGCCTGGGAGGAGGACAACTTGATACACATCACACAAACACACTTTTTCTTTCTTGTTACAATCAAACTGTGTTCCCTCCCTTCTTTTAAAGGGATATTCAGACGTATAATTAATTTAGGGTCAAATACACCATAACACCAAGTTAGACACCGCCTCGAGAGATGAATGTTGCCGACCGCTTGCTAGACAGATGCCAGGGTAAAGTCTGGAATGGACTTCTTGTATCGGAGTGCTGATATCGGAGATTTTAGATGCAGGCCGATATAATCCAATATTTGTCTTTTTTGTTTTTTTGTTTGCTGATATCGGACCGATATCAATATTTTGTAGGGACACACTAACTGTCTATCATAACAGAATTTATATTAAACACTGGCCTGTAACTGAAACTTAGATTTGATATGCAGTCAGTAGGGATGGGAAAAATGATACGACGATATCAGCCATATAAGGACTGATGCCGATATTAAAGGGATATTCTGGAGTAAAATTAATTTAGGGTCAAACACACTGTAACACAGAGGGCTCTATTTTCGTGTCCGTTTGATACGGTGGAGGGTGGCGCAGTGGTATTTTCGTCTGGCAGAGCCTGGTGTACAGCCAGTTTGATAGCGCGGTAGGGGGAGGTGTCGACAGAATCGGCTGGCGCAGTGACATTTTCTTGCTCGCCGCCAGCGTGTAAAGTACGCTGAAAGCTCGCTGATTCAAACCTGGTCAGCTTTCAGTGCAGGCGGAGCGCAGCTGGTCTAGAAGTATTTTGGTAGGTACTAGTCCTATGGCTGGGACCCTATATGTCCTGTTGATGAAGTTAGGTGCTGTTCTGAGCATTATTTGTGGCTATAGAGTGGCGTTTTGGTTGAGGTTTGTTTTTGGCTCCCCAGACCGCTGTGTATTGCTATCCTGCAGTCGTTACTAACAACATTCACCTCTCGACGGAGTGTCTAACTTAGTGTTACGGTGTGTTTGACTCTAAATTAATTTTACACCGGAATATCCCTTTAATACCACGCATGACCTCCTGTAGATCTTTCAGTGACCTGTTTGTTTGTGTTATTTGGAGAACCGTTGGCCACCTCTCTGGAAATGTATCACACTTTATATCTCCGGTTTGAATCAATCTGGTTTCCACCCAAATGAGCGTCGGAACAAAATATGCGAGAAAGTTTCCTTTGAGTAAACTTTGCGGTCGATTGAACGACGGGCCGGTAGATTTTGGATGGTGGGATCTAAAGGTCGCAGGTCCGCTGTTGTCCCAAGGTTGTGCGGTAAGCTAAATGCTGATTCAGAGCAAAATCATCGCCGCTTTCATCTGATGTGAAGTGGTGCCAGGGATTAGAGTTTAAGACAGCAGAATTGATTAACACTTTCTGCTGAACAGGCTTAAAGTGTGAAAAGAAGTTCTTTTTTTATATATGAGGATTAAATAATTTGACTTCCTCTGTGTCCTGTGAAGGGAGGTGAGAGAACAGATTGTGAGTCTGCTGTTATCACTCACAGAAATGTGTGGCCAAACCCAGCAGGGGTCCAGTTAATGAGTGTTTTTAGACGTTTTTATTAAAGTTGTCAGCAGAACACAATGACAGACTCGCCTCGCGCAGGATTCCTTCGAAGGATAGCTGCAGCCGGCGTCTGCATAAACACTCCGAACATGCTAAACCAACGATATCAGCGGCCCACTTCAGCACACTGCAGCCTGCCTTTCATTATGTGTTTACGGGGGTTTGGTCCTTTTGTCTGTGTGTGCACAAACAACCACACTTCCTCCCTCACACACACGCAAACATTCGAGGACCTGTAGGAGCAGATTCAGTTTACAGCTGCAGGATATTGTGAATTGGTCTCAGCTCTGGTAAACAACAACGTTACTCTGTGTGTGTGTATGCTTCGGCGTGATTCTCAGAAACCTTTAGATGTGATTGTGTTTTTGAAATATGGTCATAGTTTTATGTAGATGACGTGCCGGGGTATACAGCAGAGAAAAATCAGAGTCATGACTGTAAAAACTCTTTGTTCGGGAAGTCTTGACACTTGAGCCTGACCCCCCCCCGCATGCGCAATGGCTCTGATCTGGAATGGCACTGATTTTCGCCGTCCCCCCAATTCCTACCGGATCCGTTTAAGAGGCAAATTTTGTGGTGGATTCACGTGCAATCGCGCGATAATGAGTTGTCTCTATAAAGACAGCCACATAGACATATAAGCAGTAGATTGTGTCCTTCCAGAGGAGGAAATCTACTTCTAAACTTCTAGAATCAGCATCTCCTCATCCATGGTGTCATCGGGGTGAAATGACGTCTAAAAACCTTTCACTTTTTCGTCTCTGCCCGTTTGCATAGTGTGAAATACGATTCGCCTAAAAAACAGAGTGTTTTGGGGGAACAAAGATGGCGGCGTAGCGAGTGGTTGACTTTCTCTGCGCTCCGCACCAGCACTTTAATATTTCTGCAAAAACTCCGCCCGACCCAATTTTCCAACAAACGCTGCTTCGTGAAGGTCAATATGAATATTGACGAGTACTTTTTGAGATCCCGGGATAAGATGGCGTCGAAACAAGACCACAACTCTGCTGAGGATAGCGAGTTGGGTGCTACTGCTAGCATGACCGTCTCGCCCCCGGCGGAGGAAGAGCGGCAAACGCCACGGGAAGACGCTAGAGACGTGGTCCTCGACGCCGCTTTTCGACAAGCTATTCAAGAAATTACGGCGAATATAACCAAGGTGATTGATGAAAGACTTGGCCCGCTGTCTCAAACGGTGCAGGCCCACGCCCAACAGCTGAAAAAGATCGAGGAGAGAACCACCGAGGCGGAGGGCAGGATCGCCGCGGCTGAACACACCTATGAGGCGGTGGACTCGCGGGTCCAGGTGCTTGAAAAACAAATACGAAGCATGGCCGAGCAGATCGACGATCTCGAGAATAGAGGCAGGAGAAAGAATGTCCGGGTGGTTGGCTTACCAGAAGACACCGAGGGGAACGACCCGACAAAGTTTTTCCAGAGCTGGATTCCAGACCTCCTCGGGATGGAGACGAAAGCTGGCCGCATCAAAATTGAAAGAGCTCACCGCACCCTGGCGTCCAAGCCCGGACCGAACCAGCGACCACGACCCGTCCTGATCAGGTTTCACAACTTCGCTGACAAGCAGAGGGTGTTGGATGCTGCACGGCGTCGTGGGACGGTGAAGCACGGGGACTCCACCATCATGTTCTTCCAGGATCTGTCAGCTGCGGTGCTGCGCAAACGGAAGGGCTTTGACGAGGTGAAGAAACGCCTGTGCGACATTGGAGTCAAGTACATGATGCTCTACCCGGCTACACTCAAGATAATCCGAGGTAAGGACACCAGAAGCTTTGACTCTCCGGCTAAAGCGGCGGCGTTTGTTGACACTCTCAACTGATCTACACGCGGATCATCAGCTGATCACCAGCTGACGTTTGTTTACATTTGGATGAGAGTTCGGACATTTATATGGGCAAAACTATTCGAGTTAGTCTCTTTTTTCGGTCAGCCCAATGTTATCTAAGGGTGGACAATACTACTGTGTGGTGTGGGCGGGGCTCGGAGTTGTAAAAGTTAACCGAGTTAGAGGTGGGTAGAAAAGAAGGTTTTGGCGATCCCCTGATTTCTGCTTGGGGAAGGTTCCTCCTACAGTGCTGTTGGTACGCCTGTTATCTGTTATTTTGTATTATGTGTACTCGATGTTGTGTTTTTTTTGTTCTTCAGCTGGGTTGCAGTCAGGTGCAGGATCTATGTGGAAATGGTAATATGCTTGGAGGCTCAAAAATATTTAGTGCAGAAAAATCATGACCTATGACACATTGAGGTTGTGCACTTGGAATATTAAGGGGAGTCACTCTCCCATCAAAAGGACAAAGGTATTATCATCCTTGAAGAAGGAAAAGGTGGATATTGCTATGCTGCAAGAAACGCACTTAAATGATGAGGAGCATGTGAAGTTGCAGCAATGTGGCTTTGATCAGGTCTACTTCTCATCTTTTACCACCAACAGCAGAGGGGTGGCAATACTCATCAGGAAGAACTTACCTATTAAGGTGTCAAAATGTATTAAGGATAAATATGGTCGGTTTGTACTTATTTTGGCCTCCCTTAATGGGGAGGACCTTGCCCTTTTAAATGTTTACTGCCCCCCATGTCACCCACTTAACTTTCTAACGGAAGTTTTTGCCAAATTGTCTGATTTTGCGGTGGACAACACTATTATAGGAGGTGATTTTAATTGTCTTCTGAACCCACTGATGGACAGGTTTCCTTTAGGCGCTTTAACTCAATCAAAACAGTCAAAACACGTCTCTGGCCTCTGTGATGACTTTGGATATGTAGATGTTTATAGGACACTTCACCCTGCTGATAAAGAATTCACTTTTTTTTCAAATCCCCACAAATGTTACACAAGAATAGACTACTTCTTTACCCCAAAACAGTTTATAGAATCTGTAGACACCTGTTCTGTTGGTAATATCATAATATCAGACCATGCAGCAGTCTATATGGACGTTACAGTAAAGAAACTCCCTAAGAAACTCGCTGGCTGGAGAATGGACGCCTCAATAATAAGAGATCACAGATTCATATCGTACTTCTCAACAGAATTCAGGCATTTTCTTGCCACTAACTCTCCCTCAGCCACCGACTCGTCCATCCTTTGGGAGACCTCCAAAGCTTACGCCAGGGGACTGATCATTTCTTATACTGCTTCCAAAAGACGTAAAGTTGCGGAGCAACAAGTTTTATTACAAAAAAGGTTGGATGTGTTTGAGAAGGAATATATTAAGAAACCTACAACATCTAAACTAAAGGAGATCACTGCAATTCGCTCCACATTAGACTCATTGCTAACAAAAAAAGCAGGGGAAAAATTAGGATATGCAAAACAAAGGCTATTTGAATACGGAGATAAACCAGGGAAATATTTAGCCAACTTGACAAAAAAGCGCAGGGCTTCTCAAATTATTGAGTCTGTTTTAGATGAGTCAGGGACCTGTTCCACTGATTCAAAGATAATTAACGACACTTTTAGAAACTTCTACGCCAAATTATATCAATCAAATCAAACTAACAATTCTGAAACTCTGATGGAAGCTTTCTTCTCTGAACTTGACCTCCCAACTATATCACAAGACCAGAAAACTAAATTGAATGCCCCAATCTCAGCGGCTGAACTGCGTGAGGCCATGCGACTCCTCCGTTCAGGCAAAGCTCCAGGCAGTGATGGTCTTGGTAGCGAATTCTATAAGGAATTTCAAGATATTTTATTAGAGCCTATGATGGATATGTTTAATCACTCTTTTGAATCTGGCACTCTACCACCATCGCTAAGGGAAGCTAATATTTCACTGATTCTCAAAAAGGGGAAGTGCTCTGAGAACTGTGCCTCATACAGGCCAATCTCGCTCTTGAATGTTGATTTGAAAATTCTCTCTAAAGTTTTGGCAAGACGATTGGAAGGCCTTCTACCTATTATAGTGAAGGAAGACCAAACTGGCTTCATTAAGGGCCGCAATTCCTACAACAATATTAGGAGATTACTAAATGTCATCCAACTGTCCGAACAGTCAAGAATAGATGGTATGGTTATCTCCCTAGATGCTGAAAAGGCTTTCGACCGCGTTGAATGGCCTTATTTATTTTATACACTTGATCGGTTTGGCCTTGGGGATAACTTAATTAAATGGGTGAAAATCCTTTACACAGAACCAATGGCTGCAGTTCTAACAAATGGACTCAGATCCTCGAACTTTGTGGTACAGAGGGGTAGCAGACAGGGCTGCCCTCTGTCGCCACTTTTATTTGCAGTGGCCATTGAACCCTTAGCGGAAGCTATCAGACGTGACCCTTTAGTGGCGGGATTAGATTTGGGGGGAAAATCTCATAAAATCTCATTATACGCTGACGACGTGTTGTTATTTATGCTAAACCCCTCTATATCAGTCCCCCGTCTTATTCATATTATTGATCAATATGCCGCCTTTTCTGGATATAAGGTTAATTTTTCCAAATCAGAAGCAATGCCTCTAGGTAATTCTAAGCATCCACCAGATAATCCTGATCCCTTCCCGTTCAAGTGGTCCTCTACTGGCTTCATATACTTAGGCATACATATAACACCTATATTCAATCAGTTGTTCCAAGCTAACTTTAGCCCATTATTTGATAGAATAAAACATGATTTGGAGAGATGGGTTGATCTGCCTATATCCTGGCTGGGCAGAATTTCGCTTTTGAAGATGAATATTCTTCCGCGCCTGCTTTACCCAATACAAATGATCCCCGTCTTGTTCAGTCAAAAAATTGTGAAAAAACTGAATGGTTGGTTCAGCTCATTTATCTGGAGTAGACGCAGACCACGTGTCAGGTTTTCAGTGTTGCAATCGCCCAGTGCTAAGGGTGGGCTGGACCTCCCCGACATTAGGAAGTACCAACTGAGTGCCCACTTAAGATATGTAGCTGATTGGATCAAAGACGATGCTTCCTCAATCTGGCTTGATATTGAGAAGTCTCTGTCCACTTGCCCTCTTAAAAATCTACTCTTTATAGGTGATTTGAAATGTGTTAAAAAGCTTTGCAATAATCCGATTACAATCAATACTATTAGAGCATGGAAGATCACACAACAAATAGAAGGCAGAGCAGGGTTTACGTCAATCCTCACCCCCATTACTGACAACCCTGATTTTCTCCCAGGGACCTTAGATGGGGCTTTCAAATGCTGGAATGCTAAGGGAATCATCTCCCTGGGTGATCTTTTTATCGGTCCTACCCTCATGTCTTTTAGCCAGGTCGTGGGGAAGTATAAAATATCAAGAAACGATCTCTTCCGTTACTTTCAGATCAGGGATTACATTTTAAAAAGTACGTCTTTGCCTGCCGATATGAGTATCACACAGATAGAGAAGCAACTATTTCTCTCTCAGGGCAAGACTGTCATTAGAACCTTTTACGCCAGTCTGGGAGATAGCTCGAGTATCAGCACTCGGACGCTGGAAGGGCTCTGGGAGAGGGAGTTGGGTGTTGAGATAACGGAGAGAATGTGGGTCAACATTTGGGACAACGCAAAGAAAATATCTGTCTGTAACCGGACAAGGGCTATGCAATTAAAGGTTCTGCATAGAGCACATGTTGCCCCCAACCGTCTCTCCAAATATAGGAAAGATGTCTCTCCCATCTGTCTTAAGTGCAAGACGGGAACTGGCGATCTTACTCACTGTTACTGGTCTTGTGTTAAAATCCAAAAATACTGGAATGACATTTTATCTGAAATGGAGAAAGTACTGAAGACGACGCTGGATTTTGATCCGGTTTCACTTCTTCTGGGTCTCTCAAGTGACCGGGTTGCTGACATGTATCAGAAAAAATTGTATAATATCCTGACATTCTGTGCCCGGAAAAATATTCTGATTCATTGGATCTCAGACAAGGCCCCATCACTGTCAGGCTGGCACAGGACAATAATGGAATACATACCTCTGGACTATCTCACCTGTCTTCTGCATTCCAGGACTGATGTCTTTGAGAGAACGTGGAAACCATTCCTGGACTATATTAATGTAAACGTTTCTGCTATACTCACGAGGGCATTTGTATGATTCTGCATCTATCTTCTCTTCCCCCTTGATGAAGCCTCCACTGTGTGTTACACTCCGCATTGTGTAATGTGCCTGTTTTATGCATTCCAGAACTAATTAGTTTTGGTTCTTGAGATATTATTCCCAGCTTCTGTTGTTGTAGTTGTAGTTGTTATTGTTATTGTCATTGTCGTGTAGTGCTGCTGTGATGTCTGGTCCTGTCTTTTGTATGTTTATCAATAAAAAAAAAAAAAAAAAAAAAAACAAAACAGAGTGTTTTATTTTGAAAAGAAGCCGGATGTTTTATTTTGTGTCTGTGCCCGACTTCCTGTCTGGAAAAAATAGAACTGCAGAGCCTTTTCCTAGTCGTTTGGGGGTGTGTTTGTTTCCTGATGCACGTCCAGAGGAAAAAGGACCCACATCCAGAATATTTGTAATGTTAGAGGTTTTACCTGCTAAACATCACAAACATAAGTATTTATCAGACTGACGTTGGCCCCTACAGCTTCAGCATCGAGTGAGACTCTCATTCCTGCTGATTCTCTGTAAACGGGTGTAGGAGGCTGAGCTATTTCAGATTTGGAAAACAGTTTGACCCAAATGTGTTTGTGTAACTTCTGGAGCTGAAGAGCTGAGAAAAAAAAACTTAATTAGCTCAATTTCTTCATGTTTGGATTATTGCTCCCTTTAATTTTAGAAACAGAAAACACATCTTTTAATTGCTTTATGTTAAAAGGTGCCCAAAACTTTGACTTTTTGACATTTTACCCATCCCTGAAGGAAAGTTAACTTTAATATTGTCTTAATTATATGTTTTCCATTATTCTCAGAGAGTGGGGTTGCTATTTTTTTTATATAACACTTTACAATAACCATCATTTAAAAATGGCAAATAGTTAATTAATGTTAGTTAATAGTTTCTTTACCATTAACAAACAATAAAATTAGGATTAATTATTAATGGACTATTTATTAAAGGTTTATATAGGGTTTAAATATTGGTTGTAGAACATGTAGATTAAAATGTGTGTCAGTAGCACTTTGTAAATGGTTAATATTTGGTTTTTAAACCATCTGTAAACATTACTTAGATGGTTATTGTAAAGTTAGGGTTTTAAAATTGTAAAAGTTACAGTTTATTAATGGTCTATATGCTATTTATAAATGATGATTAAACATTAATAAACTGCTTACCATTTATAAACGGTCTATTTACCATTTATA